CGGATCTCAGTGTCAAACTTTCCGTCCTCTGTTAGAACACTTCCCAGATATTTCAATTTCTCTACCTGCTTGCTTTTAGTGTCCCCAATCTGTAATTTGCATTTAGAGTTTCCCACATTGAGTTACTCACATAGTTTGGTGCCAGAGGCAATGAACTAAGGGGGGGGGCGACGATCACTGGACGTTGGCGTAAAGACAATGTCGTTAGCTATAACAATTATCAATATTATTAATATTATAATTATTATTATTATTTTAATATTATTACTATTTTGGTATCACACATTGACATAGGCAATGAAAATTCTATTCAGAAGCAGGTTCTCAACAATATTCTTCACAGTTCCAGAACTTTTGGGGGAATCCTTACATAATACTTAATAGTAGTTTTCTGGAGGTCAAAAATCTTGATCTCAGTTACAGTTTTCCATAAGCGCTCATTCAAGTTTCTAGGCGGTGTTCCAAGTGCATCCATTACTACAGGAATCATTCCAGCAATCATATTCAACAGCTTCTTCAGCTCCTGTTGTCATGTTGTCTTTGTTCAAAATAGGCGAGAATTAGCAAGGCCGTAATTAGAGAGAGTTTCCAAGGAACAGAAGACTAGGCAGAAGAAACAATAAAGAGATTTGTTAAATACTCATACATAGAACGGAATCAAATACTACTAAATTCTCACTCAAATGTGTCTACTTGCCATATTTATAAATAGGAACAATCAATTGTGGCAGTAGTAGAGAAGAGCAGAAAGTAAACCAAGTCCTTTTCTATAGCGAGTTCCTGGTATTTTTCAATCTTTTCAGTTTCTTTAGAGTTCACTCTTTTATCGTATCGAACCTCAAAACCAATCATTTGACACAATTTCTTTTATTACTAATGTTCACTGAGTATCTACACGGCCTTGTGAATGATGAATGATTTTCCACCATTACACATCTTTTCTACAGACAAAACGTAGCGAGCCTCTCGCTTCCTTATCACTATTTGTATGGAATGTTTCCATAGTATGGCGTGTTCTGACAAACTACATTCCTTAGTTCTACCCCCCACCCCAACCCTTTAAAGCTGAAACTCACCATGCTACGTACACAAGGGGTGAATCATCCTCATTCTCTCCGTATTCCTATAGTATTCGGACAGCTTCTTCCCCCAAACTGCTAATTTGAGGAACAGACGTCCGGCAGGATGTTTTTTTTCCATTCACTACAATCTTGACCTCTTCAAGTCTATGGTTAACCGTTATCTTTCCTGAATGATCTCATAAATTTCACTTCTTCCTTACATTCATACAACACAGCACAGTGATGTGTGTATTTGGCGAACATTAGTATACATTATACAATAAACCCAGTCAAGATGGAAGGTTACTGAACAAGGTTGTCTGTCTGGACGTAAGAAGAGAAAGTTAATGTAGATTATGGAGATATGTCGGATAGATAACAGTTAAGACTAGACTTGAAGAGGTTAAGATTGTAGAAGAAGCATCCTCTTAGGAGTCTGTTCCACAAAGTAGCGGTTCTGACTTGCAATTTTACTTATCTATCACAATAAGATTGGGTTTGCGTGCTTCAGTGACACGATCCATTTGGACAGAGAAATTCCATATGTTGTGATTATTATTTTCTACTACTAATACTATAGCTACTACTAATACTTTTACTACTACTACTACTACTACTACTACTACAACTATTTAAATGAGAATTATTGCTGAAAATGTTTAATAATGGGAGAATTTCAGCAAATGACTGCGCCAGATACAACTACTGGTTCTACTGCTACAAAAATGATTGTAAATATTAATTTCGACGACGTGGCTTCTCACAAAATAAACAGCGCATAAAGTCATCATAGAAACTCTTGCTAAACTTCTTAAGTCGATTTTTTAAAAAACAGTCGTACGACGATAATCCAACCGGCACTTAGTAAGATGTACTCACTATAGAAACGTAGTCCTGACAGAGTAGAAAACTCTTTATAGTACTGTGAGAATATAGTGGGAGTAGTAAGAAAAGTAAAAAGAAGAAAAGGCAAGTCGGAATAGGTCAGTTGTACAGGCTATAGACGCCATAAGAAAATATTTGCTTGGTGGTGAGAGGTCGGGCTTTAGCAAAAGGGAGAAGGCAGGAAATTTAACTTTAGAATAATAAATAGAAGTATCGAAGCATGACTTCAACAGGAAAGAAAGGAATGGACTTTACACATCACTCTTTTTGCGGCAATACAGCATTTAACAACACCCATCCTTTGTATGTCTGTCTGAACCTTAAAATGATTAAAAATCTATTCCATAAAAGCTAGAAGAGTTATTGAATCAGCTATGATATAACGATTTCAAATCGATTAAACAAAATGTATATTTTATAACTTATCTGGCTAAATAATTAAAGAAAATAATATTAAATACATGCTAATAAAAAAAAATTATAAAATTTTATTATAAGTTATTTTAATTCTATATTTTTTCATTAACACCTAAATAATATTATTATAATTTTAAATTTTTTTTATGTATTTGTGATTTTCTTTATTTTCTTGTCACAACTTTCTTTTATTTTCTTACATAAAATCACATTAATAATTAATTTGAACTTTGCTATCCACAAATGTCATTGATTTATTCACAGATATTTATTTTTCATTTTATTGATAATTAAATTTTCAAGAAACTTTGAAATTAACCCGCCATTTTAAGTAGTAAGGTTACCATGGTAACGATTTTGTCTTGTAACGTGTTCATGTTCGAATTGAACGAAATGTTAGAAGAGACTATAAAAAAATTATGCATCCAGCTGGTTTTCACATATTCCGTCATACTTTGTTCGTATATTTCATATCACTCATTTTATTATTTTTTTATATATATATATATATATATATATATATATATATATATATATATATATATATATATATATATATATATATATATATATATGCGGTTGCATGGATTTCTAATCCCGGGTTTCACGATCTTCAGACAAACTGGTTTATTTTTTTTTAAAAGTGGAGCTGTTTTTATGTTTTATCTGTGTGATTATTTGTGTGTGGTGGAGGGGGAATTTTTTTCTTCTATCTATGCAACTATATATATTAGCTCTATTACACATATTCAGTCTGTTCATAGATAGATATCTATCCATCTATCTATCACTTTTGATCGCTCTCTTTTTATATCTCGATTCCCTTCGAAATATCCATATATGAATAAAATCATCATATTACAACGTCTATAGTCGATTTTAGAAGCACTAAAGTTTAAAGTTTAACTGGCCGCTCAGTAAAAGCAGTTTCATGGTAGATTTCAGGACTAGTTTTTTATAAAATAAAATATTTTTTTAAACCAATGACCAATTTAGATTTCTCGATTTTCTATTCTCCTTTCTTCTACTGGTTAAAAATCAACAGATCTAAACTGATCATTGGTTCAAATTTTTTTTTTCGCCCGCCAGTGTTCGTCATCATCGTTGTCGTCGTTGTCATATAGTAGAATTAGTAGTAGTAGTAACCTGGAAACACCCTGAGATAATTCTCAACTGATTAATTTGAAAACTCTGTAAGTGCGTTTGTACGTATTCTGAACATATGTTTACTTTGGTATACATTTAAAAAAATACGAATCGATGATGTTTTTTTGTTGAAACTATGACTGCAGGAAAATCCGAATAAATTCCGGAAAGAAATGTCTCTCTCGAAAAGATATCTCTGCTGTTGGATGGGTCAAATAAAATAATATATGGACTATGTTTCATTCACACTCCTTAGAATCTTTTAATATCAACGCTTTGTATTATTACTCATCGTAATTTGTACACTACACATCACGCCCCTGAGCGGATGCTCTCCTAAAACTAATTAGACATAAGTGAGACATTTACGGACATGGTTCAAGCGTTATTAGAATGAAAGAAAAGCCCTCAGGTCCAAGGTCCCTTCCTGAATGTTAAAGTTTATTTGACATGAGTTAATTTAAAAAAAAAAATTGAATTCACAAAAAAAATGGTTTTATTCCTAGTAAAATCTGTTTTGTCTTTTTTTTTTTTAAATCAAAACATTTTCTGCGCCATAAAATAAGGGTTCTTTCGACGTCATGTCATTTTGTTGGACATTCATCATGAGGCATTGTCTAAGGCATCAAAATTCTATACTCTTCGTCTTACGTACTTTTCTATAAAAATTGCGAATCATTTTAGAACACGTTAACTATTTTATGTTCCACTATGTGCAGTATTCTGTATAAAGGAGCTCCAATATCTACAATCCCAATATATATTCTTCATACGCTGTAATTATATGTATATATATGTATGTACAGTGTAACCCGGATATAAGAGAGTTGTCGGGACCGGAGAAGAAGTCTCTTATATCGGGGTTTTTCTTATATCCGGGTTTGGTCTATTTTATATACATTAACACAGGCTCTAATTTGGGACCAAAGAAAATCTCTTATATCCGGGTTTCTCTTATATCCGGGTTACACTGATATATATATATATATATATATATATATATATATATATATATATATATATATAAACAGTGAGGTAATGTAAATAATTCGATGAAAATAGAAAAGTTAAAAAATTAAATATATACAATGGTGAGGAAATAAATATTTATACACTGTAAAATTTTTAAATTAACATAGTTATAACTTATGAAAAAACTTAAAATCCATAGAATATTTCTACCCCATTGCGTAATGCTGCAATATGCAAAAACAATGAGAAAACTTTGTTATAAAGGAAATTATTTGTTATTTATAAAATTTCGAGGCGAAAAAAAGCATTCGTACAAAATACATCATTAATATCAAAATTTTTATTTACATTCTTAGAAGATTTTTGATTCTTTTAAGAGAATGGAAAATCTCGAAGAATCTAGCAAACAGAGAATTGGAAGAATCTAGCAAAAAGAGAAAAGAATCTAGCAAAACAGAGAATTGGAAGAATCTAGCAAAAAGAGAATTGGAAGAATCTAGCAAAAAGAAATTGGAAGAATTAAACAGAGAAAGAATCTAGCAAACAGAGAATTGGAAGAATTAGCAACAGAGAATTGGAAGAATCTAGCAAAAAGAGAATTGGAAGAATTAGCAAAAGAGAATGGAAGAATCTAGCAAACAGAGAATTGGAAGAATCTAGCAAACAGAGAATTGGAAGAATCTAGCAAAAAGAGAATTGGAAGAATCTAGCAAAAGAGAATTGGAAGAATCTAGCAAAAGAGAATTGGAAAGAATCTAGCAAAAAGAGAATTGGAAGAATCTAGCAAACAGAGAATTGGAAGAATCTAGCAAAAAGAGAATTGGAAGAATCTAGCAAAAAGAGAATTGGAAGAATCTAGCAAAAAGAGAATTGGAAGAATCTAGCAAACAGAGAATTGGAAGAATCTAGCAAAAAGAGAATTGGAAGAATCTAGCAAAAAGAGAATTGGAAGAATCTAGCAAAAAAGAGATTGGAAGAATCTAGCAAACAGAGAATGGAAGAATCTAGCAAACAGAGAATTGGAAGAATCTAGCAAAAAAAGAATTGGAAGAATCTAGCAAAAGAGAATTGGAAGAATCTAGCAAACAGAGAATTGGAAGAAAGCAAACAGAGAATTGGAAGAATCTAGCAAACAGAGAATTGGAAGAATCTAGCAAAAAGAGAATTGGAAGAATCTAGCAAAAAGAGAATTGGAAGAATCTAGCAAACAGAGAATTGGAAGAATCTAGCAAACAGAGAATTGGAAGAATCTAGCAAACAGAGAATTGGAAGAATCTAGCAAACAGAGAATTGGAAGAATCAAAAAGAGAATTGGAAGAATAGCAAAAAGAGAATTGGAAGAATCTAGCAAAAAATCTAGCAAAAGAGAATTGGAAGAATCTAGCAAACAGAGAATTGGAAGAATCTAGCAAACAGAGAATTGGAAGAATCTACAAAAGAGAATTGGAAGAATCTAGCAAACAGAGAATTGGAAGAATCTAGCAAAAAGAGAATTGGAAGAATCTAGCAAAATCTACCGGAACAATCTAGAACATTCTGTAATTCGACTAATAAATTTATATGTTCGTTCAATATTAACAACCTATTTACCCGTATCCTTATTTCAAAAACAATAAATATCTGCACAGATTTGCTATATCGCAGCCGGATATCTTCACCTGCCATTCTTGAAAACATTTTTGTTGACTTACTAAGATTTGCTGTCATATCTGTTAAATTCAATTTCAATAATACTATAATGTATTGACAGATCAACGGGGTTTCTATGAGTTCAGTCCTAGGGCTCACTTTGGCAAATATTTTTGTTGGTTTCCATGAAAATCGTTTTTTTTTTTCTGAAACTGTCAAACTACTAATGTATCATCGATATGTTGATGACACATTTTGCCTCTTTCAAAATATAGCAGATACAAAAATTTTCTTTTCATTACTTAATGGTATGCATCTGCCATTAAGGTATACTATGGAAATTGAAACTAATTCGACTATATCTTTTTGGATGTTTTAGTAACCAAAACACCATCCTGTTACATTGCATCAATTTATCGTAAACCAACCTTTACCGGACTATACATTAGATGGGATGCATTCTGCCCTAACAAACGCAAAGAAAATATACCTTACACATAGAGCTTTAATGAATTTAAATTAGATGAAGAACTAAAACAATTACCAAAGCTTTATGGAAACATTCACCTACTTAAACAAGGAGATCGTCCAGAAGAGTTACAGGAGATTCCGAAGTCATCTGGAGGCCACAGTTGAAGCCAATGGCGATTTTATTGAATAAATTTACTCTTTAGTATTTCAAGATATTTTCATGCAGTTTTCATAAGAGTGATTAATAATATGGGACCTGCAAATCTGAGTGATAATATAAAAGTACTCATCAGTACCGCTACTATATTACTTCTGTGCAAGAGCAATTATAATACTTTTACAAATTAAAATTACTCCTAATGGTGTACCATGATAGCACATAGAATAGTTGTCAAAAACCTAATGGCAGAGTTTGGATATTAATCAAAATATGGTGTTACTGTTAAGCTAATGTTGATCCGTCACTAAAGTTTCGTATATGCGTATATTCCAACATCAAATTCTGATACTATTGTAGCCACTATGCAAACCGCATTAAGAGCCTTCTCAATAACACTTATAATCTGGGTGTGACTAGATTTGCTTAGATAAAAATCTAGTTAAACCTTATTATACAAAATTACTGAATATTATAATTCATAACTCTTATTAAGAGATTTTCATATGTGAGCTTATTTTTTTTTTTTTTTTTGTTTACTGTTTTTTTTGTCATCTGTATTAAATCTATTATAACTGATCCATACACTGTGCTATTTGAAATGATTATAATTTATCAATTCCCCATTCTGAATTTTTACATATGATGGATTCAAGAAGGTAACAAGTTTGTGACACACAGTGACAATGGGACTCCGCTCTTTGAGGATGTTTTCACATTTCAAACATTTCGCTCTTAAAAAAGGCACTAACATAGGGCAATGGAAATAATTCTAAAATTATCACTTGCACTATTGACAATAAAAGTTACAAACAAAATATACGCCATTTTTGTTGCGCCTTTCCCAGTGATTTCACTGTTACTGTAAATATTAGTTTTTAAAAAATAATATTAATAAAATTAAGATAACGTCAATATAGTGAAAAATATCAGCTCGTAAAATTTTATTTGTCATGTGACTTTCAATTCTTTTCGTCAATTTGAAAAATAGTTGATGGAATTTTTTTAAACCGCGTTTTATCAGATAGGAATGTCAATAGTGAAAATTAGCCGTTGACATTTAAGAAACATTCAGAATTCACTGCCTTACTGTCGATTGAAATTTATAACATCTTTTTTTATTAAAAGAGTTTTTTTCTGAAATTAAATTTCTCAAGTCCACTAAATGTTATAACTCTTTCTAATAATACTGACGGCCGTTTCCTTCCAAACCTTTTGTTTTTGATAGCGTGAAAAGCTAATATCTTGATTGCATCCTTATTTTCTCTTCTAGCTACACGCCTTACCCAATTTTTGTTTTTTGCTGCTGTTGGAAATGTTTAAGTGGTTTTCATTATTTAGTATAGCTAGTTGGGATTGTGTAGCACCAGTCTATAAAGTTTGATTGTATTAAGGACCTACATTCAATTGTTAACTGGAATAAGGGATGGTTTGTTGATTTGCACGCCTCCAAAATGAAACTGCTCTATTAATCGTCTGAGAGAATTCTTTCCGTAGTCCACCAGCACGGCGAATGCTAACCTTCAGCTGAGTGCTTCATTGCGCTTTCGCCGAAAACTGTTGTATAGAGATGATAGATTAGATATTTCTAAAAAGAAAAAGTGTTATGAATGATATCTGCATGATAGTCAAGATCTGATGAAGCCGTTTAAGAACATGACTCGCATTTTTACATCAATATTTTGGTTTTGTGGGGCTGAATCTTTTGTCTCCTTGGTATAACATGTTTTGTCTTCAATTTCCTTATCTCCGTATCATCTGTATTAAATCTATTATAACTGATCGATACACTGTGCTATTTGAAATGATTATAATTTATCAATTCCCCATTCTGAATTTTTACATATGATGGATTCAAGAAGGTAACAAGTTTGTGACACACAGTGACAATGGGACTCTCGAGGTACTTCTAATGGCTATTATCTGCTTTTTAACACTTACCACATAGTGAGGAGATCTATATTTAGTAAGATTAGTTCTAAAAGGACGAACCCAAAATGCAAATTGCAAATCGGGAATGCTAAGATTTAACAAATACAAAAATTTAAATATCTGGGAAGCATTCAAACAGAGGACGAGGAGTGCGATACTGAGATCCGAAGACGTATTGGAATGGCCAAAGATGCATTCCAAAAGTTAAGCAGAGTATTAAGAGACAGGAAAACTGCGTTAGAAACAGTACTGAACTGTTACGTGATACCTGTCCTTCTATTGTGAATACTAGACAATCTCCTCAAAGATGAAGAAGAAACTTGAAGCAAGAGAAACAGAAAGTTGCTGAGGATAACATGGACCGAACATGTGAACAACGACGAGGTTTTGGAGAAAACGGAAACAAAAAAGAAACTTGTACTTAACATCAGGAAGAGGCAGTTGAAATTTATATGGCACATAATGAGGAAGTAGGGTTTGGAAATTCTGATACTCACAGGACAGATTGAAGTAAAGAGCGACAGAGGAAAGTAGCACGTAACATACTTGATGAACTTCAATGGATGGATGATAGAACAGGGTTTTGGAGAAATAACAAAAAGACAAAACTTATTAAGAGCTACCAAGGGACAGGAAGATGTGGATGGCCTTGATCGCCTACGGCACATAAAATGAAGAAGCCATATGTACAGTACTCAATGAGAATGGATTTCAATATATCAATTTCTGCAATCGCGCTAACGATTATTTTAAAAATAATCGGCTAATATTTATCAAGTTTGGTTTAGTCTGGCACAAGGTTACAAGAATGGAACACATACACTGCAACTTGCAGTAGCACAAATGAGTGTGGAAAAGTTATCCACCAGACCAGCAAGTGTTTTTTTTTTTTTTTTTTTAAATCTTATTGTTTACTTGGTTCGATTCGGGTAAATGGGTTGGCTGATAACTTTTCAATCTACCGCCCTCAAAATCGTCCGTTAGACTCGTTCGCCATTATCTCATGGCTAGTCACCCATAGTTATTTAATAAATAATATACCACCGTCTGGCATAAGGCCATAGTTATGTAGCACCCTGTGATAAAAGAACATGCGATGTTCAATAGTAACAATAGTATACTTGTCAAACACTCCTCGCGGCGAGAGGCTTAACGTCGTTTGATAAAATGCTAGCTCGTTAACCATTACCCCACAGAGACAAATATTAAGGAAGTGGGTGGATCACATTTATAAAGAGGAGTGTAAAAATGTGTGGGACAAGTTAAATGAAACGGAATTCTGGCCATTTCCTGGCAGATGTGGATGTAAATCTAAAAAGGGGCTAGGGAAATTTTTTTTTTTTTGCTTTAGATTTTTTTTTACCAGGCACCATATTGTAAACACGCTTAAAGAAGTAAAAATCAAATTCCCTTTTAATATGTTCAGCTATAATCCTTTCTTTATTATCTCAAACAATAGAAAGAAAGAAAGAAAGAAAGACAGGAAGAAAGAAAGAAAGAAAGACAGAAAGAAAGAAAGAAAGAAAGAAAGAAAGAAAGAAAGAAAGGAAGGAAGGCGATAAAAGTTTAGCGTTAAAATCTACCATGCTTTTTCAAAATAACCACAGTGATTAAGGAATTCATTGCTATATGAGTTTCTTCTCAAACGGGACTTATTTACTTTCTCAAAGAAAGAAGTGAATATATCTAACACAATTGCTACTCAAACGTTCGGAATAACTAAATCACTAAATGATTACTGCAAACAGAGCTTCCTCTGCAACACGAAATGTTCGGAATACCCACGGCAATAAATAACTTCTTTAAGAAATTAATTTATATGTAACAGGAAATGTTGCTCAAATTTTCGGAGTGTCTGTAGAGCTAAGTAACTTCTTCAAAGTAACAAGTAATTGCATAACCTAGTAAGGTGTGTTATCTTTTGATAAAATTTAGTCTAATTTCCTTGTTGTTGTTGTTGCTTTTTTTTAAACATTGTTTATAATGCTCCTTGGTTTGATTCGTATATCTGTCATGTTTTGAAAGTTTTTCTTTGGTGTGTAGGCATGTTCCCCTTTGCCATACACGTTACATCCGGTGCTTCTGCCTGGATTCCTATCAAGATTTGATAGTGGCATCCAACGAAAGAAAATGTGTATAGCGTCGGTAATGTAGTGATAACATCTGCAAAAATCAGTCCTAATAAATTGGAAAATTCCATTAATTCGTCTAAACAAAGATTCAAGCAATTAATTGTAATTCTATATTTTCTAACCATATACTGAAGCCCCCAAAACAGTGTCATTTCAAGAGTACAAACAAAATTTGGTCTAAAATAATTATAGAAGAACTGGTCGAAAAAAAATATGCAAAAATTGTTAAAAGCGAAAAATTAAATGTATCCGGATTAGATGAAGACCATTTTGGAAATATTGTTGTAAAAATAAAATTAAAATGACTGGAATTATCGAAGGGCGATTATCACATCAAGTTTTATTAAAAAGAATTATTTTAAAATAGGAAAATACGGGTTATAAAATTTAATCTCAGGGAATTCAGACTTTAGAAATTAATTATAAATTTATACTTGTGATTTTAATAACTGCAGAATTATTTTAAAGAATATAGATTTCTCATGTTCATCAGCTGATGATACACGGTTTTAAATTAAATATATTAAGACGATTTTTTAAAAGTCTGTATCACCCCATGAAAGGGGTTACCGGGTGTGGAAGAATTAGGAACAGAAACATTAATAATGAGCGGGAAGAGAAAAGAGGAATCAGGAGGACAGTGATTGACATTGCATTTAAATTTTTGAAGATTAAAGTTGGCTAGAAAACATGAGCCCGAAGGGAGTTCCACAAGCGAGAAGTCTGAGAAAAGAAACTCTTACCATAGAAATTACGATCTAGCCAGCTCAAATGTAAATAGATGAGATCTCGACACCAGTCTAGTACAGTGCTTAAATTCAAAAAGTTTAGGTACCATAGCGAAGAGCTCATCGGAACAAGTACCATGAATTTTTTTATAGAAAAGACACAGAGAGGCAACCTTATGGCGGTGGAAAAGTGACTGAAACCGAGCCGCCAGATCAAGACCAATAATATTGCTGATTCTGTTTTGGATTTTATTAAAGCGAGGAAGGTAAAGAGCAAGGGCATCGGACATATGTGGCAACAATATTCTAAGCATGGGCGAATGGTAAACTTATAGATATGACAATATTATTATTTCTTTTATTTACCGTGTCCTTTCAGGACGTGGACGATCATGGCTCCAGTCCTTTGTAGCTCTTAATAATGTTTGTGTTTCTACTATTTCTCTAAATTCTAGTTCGGCCAACCATTTACACAAACTCGTTGGGTAGGTTATTTTCTAAGTTCTAATTCCTCATTATGAGCGCCTTAGAAATGTCAACTCACACCAGCATGTTTAGCCGCCATAGCACACAGGAACCACTATTTCCGATTATACCAGTGTGAGAGCTCTAGTCATAACAGGGGCCTATTTGCTACTGCCCGTAACAAATGTAAGAGAGTCCAGGAAGGAGCTAAATCCGTTTGCTTAAAGAATGAGCACCGCATAGCCTCTAAAAACTTTGGCTCTCTTGTCTAGGGTACCGAATAAGTGTAAGGTCTCTATTACCCCCATCTTCAATCGATTTGGGTGTTATCATCCTCTGCTGAGAAAGCTGAATGCTTTGCCCGTAAATTCACCTCAAACTCTATTCTTGCTTCATCTGGAGTATCCCTGCCTAATTTCCCACCTAGAACTGAGTCTCGGTTGAGTGATATGCATATAACCACTTCCATGATTTCTGTTATTATCTCTAACCTGGATCCCCAAAAAACATGTGGACCCGATGGTATCCCTGTAATAGTCATTAGGAAGTGTGCTCCCGAACTGGCTCCTGTTCTCTCTAAACTGTATAATAAATGACTCTCTGCCTCCTGCTTTCCTGTCTGCTGGAAGTCATCTGTTGATCCAGTTTCACTCTGGTGAACCGTTCAACCCATCTAACTATCGGCCGATTAGCCTTCTATCTCTTTTTGGAAATCTCCTAGTGGCCATAATCAATACTGAATTGTTTCATCATCTCTCATAGCAAGGCTATTTCTCAGACAAGCAATACGGCTTTCGTTTTGCCAGGTAAACTGCTGCTATCGATAATTGCAGAAAGAGTCTATCATGCGCTAGATAAAAACGGTGAAGCCCGGGCTGTAGCATTGGACATCTCGAAAGTCTTTGACAGGATCTGACATTCAGGACTTCTCCACAAGCTGAAAAGTTACGGTATCGCTGGGCACATTTTTGAGCTGATCCAGTCATTCCTATCAAATCGAGAAATTAAATTTGTCCTGAACGGCCATTCATCTATATTCTTTCTTACTAACAAGGGTGTCCCCCCAGGGCACAATGCTTGGTCATATGCTGTTTTTAATCTTCATTAACGACCTTCCTGATCAGCTCTCAACTTAGCATCTACGCTGACGGCACTACCATTTACTCCTGCCTCGATAAGTAAGGCTGATTAGTCCGACAAGGTCAAAATGGCAGCTGGGGTCCAAAACGACCTCAAGACCGTTGCTAAACGAGGCAAAAGATGTCTTGTCAATTTTAACACCTCCAAAACTAACTTTCCTTCCATTAATCATCTGAGAGACCCTTTGCTGCCTTCCATCAGTATGGCTGATGCTATCCTCCAGGAATGTGAATCCTTGCGCCTTCTCGAGTAACGTTCTCTAATGACATGAAGTAGAAAGACTAGATTAAATCCATTGTTAGGTCAGCTGCTAAGAAAGTCGGTTTAATGTACCGAGCGAGACAATTTTTCTCTCCGGGATCTATCTTGCATATCTATGTCTACCATTCGCCCACGCTTAGAATATTGCTGCCATTATATGGTCTGGTGCCTCTTCAGTTTACATGGATCTTATCAAGAAGATCCAAAGAAGAATCAGCAATATTATTGGTCCTGATTTGGCGGTTCTCTTCAGTCATTTGCCCACCACCATAAGGTTGCCTCTCTGTACTTTCGGGTGGGATCTTTCCTATGGTACCTAGACTGTATAAATTTAAGCGCAATATTGGACCTGTGGTGAAATCTCATCAATTTACATTTTGAGCTGGTTAGATGTAGTTGTAACTTCTATGCTGACTGTTTCTTTTCTCACACTTCTCGTTTGTGGAACTCCCTTCCGACTCCATGCTTTCCAGCCACTTTTAATCTGCAAAAATTTAAAATTTAAATGCAATGTCAAGCACTATCTACTGTCCTCCTGATTACTCTGATTTCTCTTTTCTCATTACTAATGTTTCAGTTCCTAATTCTTCAACACCCTGTAACCCCTTGCATTTTAGTGACTGTACTGCCTTATTTAGAGTGATACTTATTATAAAAGAAAAAGGGTGCAGAAAAGCTATGCTACAGCGCTTGGTAAAGTGGCTGAAGCCGAGATGCCAGGTCAGGACCTATTACATTGCAGATTCTTCTTTAGATTTTGTCAAGAATTTCAAAATGCAAACGTTACAGCAATATCCAATGCTTTGACGACTGATAGAAAGCTGACCTAGGAATTGATTCATTATATATTTTTTTCACTTCACGTAAGTGAAAAATGTTAGTTCGAGAAGGCTCAAGTTAGGTTAGTATCAGCCATGCTGATGGAAGTTAGCATCAGCCGTACTGGTGGAAGGCAATACTTCCCAAAGTCGATTCAAAGAGATCAATTTCGTTTGCGGAGTGATGGATGCGGGGCTTTAAAACAAACTAGTCATTTCTTGCTCCAGTTAACAACAATTTGCTGATCATTTTTTAGATCAGTTTCCAATTTGGCCTTATCGAACCTATCAGACAAGAATAAATACTTGAGACATAAGCAGAGATATCGAGTTGAGAACTGATGACATTAGGAAGGTCTTTGATGAACATTAGGAACAACGTAGATCCAAGGATAGAACACAGGGAGACGCCCGCATTAATACAAAAAGATCTAGAAGACTGGCCGTTCAAGAGGACTTTCATTTCACGATTTGATAAGAAAGATTGAATCAGTTCAAAAATTAACAAATATTTGTCAAGAAATACCATAACATTTCAACTCGTGAAGAAGACCGACATGCCAAAACCTGTCAAAGGCCTTCCGGTTATCCAAAGCGACAGCTCTCGGTGTTTAAGTTTTATTCGGAAGGGTTCTTCATTGCTAAGAGCATTAATAGGTTTCTGGATGTTAAGACGCTAGTTAAATTGGTATTACTAAAATTTAATACAATTCATTTTTATGTTTAAAGTGGCTATTATTTTTTTTATAAATTATTAAAAATAGTGACATACTTGATCATCTAATCTAATTTTCCAAATCAAATTGAATTTTTCTGATCACCCAGTTAAGCATAAAAATCAAATGAGCTTCTTCCTAAATGTCTAAACATGTTTAGTATTTCACAAATGCTCAGTGAACTTAAACCGCTTACAGAAAAAAAGCAATTACAGAAAAAGGTTTCTCATTTCCTTGTAGTGCAATATTGGGAAATATGTAAAATACCCGGCGAGACACGGGAAAACACTGGACCTCCTGAGACGTTGATCAATCTATTTTAAGTT